GTTGTACAGTCATAAAACATCTGTACAGAATGCTGAGCTTGTTCTGTGATGTACTGGTGATCTGGAAATGGATGCCCAGATGATGCATATAAACCATGCAATGCAATTACCCATAACTTCAGTTTTTCTGCCCACTTTCATTTCTACCCATTGAGTGCTGTTGCAATACATACTGTATTCTTTCTTTCCCTGGTTTATTCATTCGCAGGCTACATGTTGTGTAATATGAATTCTTGCCTCATGCTTTGATCAGTTTTATCCCAAATATGAGTTCTTGTGAGTAAAACAGAAGCAGTAACTATACTGTTGATACAGTAAAAAAGGGAAATCAAGAAGAATTTCAAGGAGCTTTTACTGTGCCAGTAGCAGTGGTATTTCAGCACCTTGGACAGCAGCAGGCAGTGCAAAGTTGTTATTAATTCTAATGGTTAACTACAACATGTGATTGGAGTTAATCCTCACCATTTACTGTGGATCCATCCAGGACCAGCTAATACAATAATAACCAGGAGTAAGTTACAAATGAACCAGATGACCCAACTGGAAGCCAGATGGAAGTGCTTTTGAAACCGAGAACAGGAAGCAGTTCTCTATGCAAAGGGTTATGGATGAGTGCAACAGGTTACCCAGCCATGTTGTCAAAGCCAATATCTTGGCTTCTTTCAAAAAAACTGCTAGATGAGATTCCCAGTTCAGTTAGTCACTAACTACAGAATGGTCCAAATGGGCAAGATAGCCTTCTGTTGTATGTCATTTAATATCCTTTTAAAAAGCAATGGGCAATGTCCCACTTTTCTTCTCTCTCTATTCTTTATTATGTGTCAAAAAAGCAGTGAGTCCTGATGAGCTGTTTGGCAAATTGACGAAGTGGTTTTCTTAATGTTCCCCACATCATCTTAGAATACACTCATTTAGTTTCCCTATGTAATCATGTTGAAAGGGTTTTTTTCAGTTTCTTGCAAGCATTTGCCTCACCCTTGGTGTCTTGATGACTGATCCTGAATTTCTGTCTGTAATCAGCATTTTGTGTTGCATACTGTATCTTTGTTTATTTCTTTGGCATAGAAGGTGTTCAATTGTAAACTGTTTGGCTTTGCATGCACCTACTGTATATTTATTTCTCCAGCATTTATAGTAGGGAAGCATGGTGGCACAGTTGTAAAGTATTGTAGTTTCACAGAGCTGGGATCCTGGGTTCAATTCCTGAGATGCATGTAGTTTGATATGTTCACATGGGTTTCTTCCCACAGTCCAGAGACATACTGATAAGTTAACTGACTATTGGAAAATTGGCCCTGGTGTGAGTGTGTATGTAACCGTGTTTGTGTCCGTGTGTGCCCTGTGATGAACTGGCATCCCATCCAGGGTGTATCCTGCCTTGTGCCCATTGCTTTCCCAGATATGCTTCAGCTGGCCTGTATTGAATCCCGTATTGGATAAAGCACTTAGAAAATGGATAGATGAATGTTTTAATGTAAATTTGACCTTCTGTAAACTGTCGTACCTTTCATTGATGG